GCCGTATCTCTTAGAAACATAGAAAATTTGGTCTTCTCACCATCTGTGTGACATACACTAGAATAAATCATTTTAAAAGCTAATAAATGCTAAATGAATAAAATGAAGAAAACTTTCAAAATTATTAAAATTGAAGAGCACAGCAAGATTATCTGTAGGTAAAGACAAGCTTATTCCAAAATTTATACAGAAAGTCAAAGGAGCTAGAATAGCTAAAACGATTTGGAAACAGAAGAATATCTCGGAGGTATTAGTCTATCTGATGTTAAGATTTACTGTAAGGCCGGGCATGGTGGCTCAAGCCTGTAATCCCAGCACTTTGGGAGGCCGAGGCGGGTGGATCACGAGGTCAAGAGATCGAGACCATCCTGGTCAACATGGTGAAACCCCGTCTCTACTACAAATACAAAAATTCAGCTGGGCATGGTGGCGTGTGCCTGTAATCCCAGCTACTCAGGAGGCTGAGGCAGGAGAATTGCCTGAACCCAGGAGGTGGAGGCTGCGGTGAGCCGAGATGGCGCCATTGCACTCCAGCCTGGGTAATGAGAGCGAAACTCCGTCTCAAAAAAAAAAAAAAAAAAAAAAAAAGATTTACTGTAGTGCTATAGACTCACTGTAAAGCTATAGTAATCAAAACAGTATGGAGTAGTGAAAGATACACAAGTCAATGGAACAGGCCAGAAATTGATTTTTGACAAAGGAGCAAAAGCAATTCGATGAAGAATAGTCTTTTCAATGAATAGCCGTGTAGAAACTGGACACCCATAGGCAAAAGAAAACAAAAACAACCTAACCTAAACTTCATATCTTTTTTTTTTTTTTTTTTTTGAGATGGAGTTTCACTCTTGTTGCCCAAGCTGGTGCAGTGGCGAAATCTTGGCTCCCTGCAACCTCCACCTACTGGGTTCAAGCAATTCCCCTGCCTCACCCTCCCAAGTCGCTGGGATTACAGGTGCATGCCACCACACCTGGCTAATTTTATGTATTTTTAGTAGAGATGGGGTTTCACCATGTTGGTCAGGCTGGTCTCAAACTCCTGACCTTACGTGATCCACCCGCCTGAGTCTCCCAAAGTACTGGGATTACAGGTGTGAGCCACTGTGCCTGGCCTAAACTTCACATCTTACACAAAAATTAATTCAAAATGTATTGTGAATGTAAATGTAGCATGTGAAAAAAAGTTAATCACTATATGATTCCATTTATATGATATTCTTTTTTAAAAATTTAAATTTGATTTAACTTAATTTGGCCCGGGCAGCGGCTCATGCCTATAATCCCAGCACTTTGGGAGTCTGAGGTGGACAGATCACTTGAGCTGAGTTTAAGACCAGCCTGGTCAACATGGTGAAACCTAGTCTGTACAAAAAATACAAAAATTAGCCAGGCAGGATGTCATGCACCTGTATTTCCAGCTACTCGGGAGGCTGGGGCAGATCACTTAACACCAGGAAGTTGAGGCTGCAGTGAGGCAAGATGGTGAGACCACACTCCAGCCTGGGCCACAGTGAGGCTGTCTCAACAACAACAAAAAATTATTTTTATTTATTTATTTTTGGAGACAGAGTCTTGCTTTGTTGCCCAGGCTAGAGTGCAATGCTGCAATCTCGACTCACTGTACCTTCTGCCTCCCAGGTTCAAGTGATTCTTATGCCTCAGCCTCCTGAGTAGCTGGGATTACAGGGGCATGCCACCATGTCCTGATAATTTTTTGTATTTTTAGTTGAGACGGGGTTTTGTCACGTTGACTAGGCTGGTCTCAAACTCCTCACCTCAGGCAATCTACCTGCTTCAGCCTCCAAAAGTGCTAAGATCACAGGCGTGAGCTACCATGCCCGGCCCTGATTTTTTTTTAACTTAATTTTATTTTTTTGTAGAGATGGGGTCTCCTTATGTCGCTCAGGCTGGTTTTGATAAACATTATTCTCTTTTAAATTATGATCATTATTATTATGACAGGAGAATTATTCAGTCACACACTGCCTGGCAGAGTAGGCAATCAATAAATATTTGGTGAATTAATCAGTCAATGATAGGTACAGGGAAAAGGTGGAAGACTGATAGATTTTCTTTTCTTTTTTTTTTTTCCTTCTGAGACAGGATCTTGCTCTGTTGCCCAGGCTGGAGTGCAGTGGCGCCATCTTGGCTCATTAAAACCTCAACCTCCCTGGGCTCAGGTGATCCTCCCACCTTAGCCGCTTGTGTAGCTGGGACCACAGGTGCACACCACCATGCCTGACTAATTTTTGTATTTTTTGTAGAGACAGGGTTTTGCCATGTTGCCCAGGCTGGTGTACAGTGACACCAAGCTTGGGCAATCTGGGCTCAAGCAATTTTCTTGCCTGGGCCTTCCAAAGTGCTGGGATTACAGGTGTGAGCCACCCTGCCCAATTGAACTTCTGTTCTAATGAGGAAAACAGACTTAAGGCATTATGGCTTTGTGTGGAGACTTTAAGGATAAGCAGATGGAAGAAGGACGAAGAATATACTGGGAAATGAGAATATAAAGATTAATTGAGGCTGGGCATGGTGGTTCATGCCTATAATCCCAGCACTTTGGGAGGCCAGGGCAGGAGGATTGCCTGAGCCCAGGAATTCAAGACCAGCCTGGGCAACACAGTAAGACTCTGTCTCAAAAAAGAAAAAAAAAAAGGTAATTAAAAAAAATTAATTAAGGAGGCTTCTGAATACATGTAAAGAGTATGGTCCCAGCTGAGCATGGTGGCTCATGCCTGTAATCCTAGCACTTTGGGAAGCCTAGGTGAGCCCAGGAGCCTGGGCAACATAGTGACACTATATATACATACACATATACACTATACACACACACATACATACATACATACATACAAAGAAAGAGACCTTTCTCTCTCTCTCTCTCTCTATATATATATATATATGTGTATATATATATATATACACATATATATATGAGTCTTTATATATAAATAGCCTCTCTCTCTCTCTCTCCCTCTCTCTATATATATAATAAATATGTGAGTAAATTTCCTGGAATATGTTCCTCCTCTTGCAATACAAATGTCACACAGTGTGCATTTGTTCCACCTGTTTGAACCATTTCCAGGGCTGTCTCTCTCTCATCTTCTGCCATTGAGGTCTTCAATCCAGATGTTTTCTTCTCATATATAGACTCATACATACATATATATATCTAGAGAGAGAGAGAGAGAGAGAGAGAGAGAGAGAGAAAGGTCCCTTTTTCTGTAAGTGATGGAGTATAATTAAGGAGTATGTTATGTAAGAGGTCAGGCATGATGGCTCATGCCTGTAATCCTAGCACTTTGGAAAGCCCAGGCAAGAGGACTGCCTGAGCCTGAGTTCAAGACCAGCCTGGGCAACGTAGCAGGATGCTGGCTCTACAAAAAATTTAAAACTTAGCTGAGGCCAGTAGCCCACGCTTGTAATTCCAGCTACTCTGGAGGCTAAAGTGGAAGGATTTCTTTTTTTTTTTTTGAGACGGAGTTTCGCTCTCGTTACCCAGGCTGGAGTGCAATGGCGCGATCTCGGCTCACCGCAGCCTCCACCTCCTGGGTTCAGGCAATTCTCCTGCCTCAGCCTCCTGAGTAGCTGGAATTACAGGCACGCGCCACCATGCCCAGCTAATTTTTGTATTTTTAGTAGAGACGGGGTTTCACCACGTTGACCAGGATGGTCTCGATCTCTTGACCTCGTGATCCACCCGCCTCGGCCTCCCAAAGTGCTGGGATTACAGGCGTGAGCCACCATGCCCGGCCGGAAGGATTTCTTGAGCCTAGGCTGCATATAGCTCCTGTGAGGAAACTATAGTTTAATTCTGAGTTGATAAGGGTTTATTCATACTAACACATCAGCAGTAACATGGCTATGACTAGCCCTTCTCTAATCTAGATGAACTTTCTAGAGGAAGGAAATCCCAATCTCTTACAAGAAGGAAATAAAGAAGATGAAAAAGGGTGAATTCTTAATTTTGACTTATATATATTTTCTAGACTTCCGAGTCTGGGTAGAAATGTAGACATTGTTAGGCTCATTTCTTTGGAGATAGTTTTTTTTTTTTGAACAGAGTCTCGCTCTGTTGTCCAGGTTTGAGTGCAGTGGCACAATCTCATCTCGGCTCACTGCAACCTCCACCTCCCAGCTTCAAGCGATTCTCCTCCCTCAGCCTCCTGAGTAGCTGGGATTGCAGGTGTGCAACACCATGCCAGGCTAATTTTTGTGTCTTTAGTAGAGATGGGATTTCACCATGTTTGTCAGGTTGGTATCAAACTCCTGACCTACTGATGTGCCTGCCTCAGCCTCCCAAAGTGCTGAAATTACAGGCGTGAGCCACCAAGATATGGAGTCTTGCTCTGTCGCTCAGACTGGAGTGCAGTGGCATGATCATGGCTCACTGCAACCTTTGCCTGCCGGGTTCAAGTGATTCTCCTGCCTCAGCCTCTTGAGTAGCTGGGACTACAGGCATGCACCACCATGCCTGGCTCATTTTTTGTATTTTTAGTAGAGACAGGATTTCCCCATGCTTGCCAGGCCGGTCTGGAACTCTTGACCTCGTGATCCGCCTGCCTTGGCTTCCCAAAGTGCTGGGATTACATGGTGGCTTAGTCACCGTGCCCAGCAACTTCTCTTTTTTTTTTTTTTAGACAGAGTCTAGCTCTGTTGCCCAGGCTAGAGTGCAGTGTTGTGACCTCGGCTTACTGCAACCTCCACCTCCCAGATTCAAATGACTCTCCTGCCTCAGTCTCCCTAGTAGCTGTGATTACAGGCATACACCACCACACCAGGCTAATTTTTGTATTTTTAGTAGTGATGGGGTTTCACCATGTTGGCCAAGCTGGTCTCAAACTCCTGACCTCAGGTGACCTGCCCACCTCAATCTCCCAAAGTGCCGGGATTATAGACCTGAGTCATGATGCCTGGCCACAAACTTCTAATTCTGGGTTCTGCACAATCAGGAAGAGAATATCCTAGAGGGCAGCTCCCCTGGTATACTGCTTAAGGGACTAGAATGTGGATTCATTTCTGCTAGCTCTTTGATTCTTATAGTCCTCTATGCTGGCCTCAAACTTGTCAAGCACAGATTGGCAGACGTTCTTGAGCTCCTTCAGTCCTCTCTGAATTGGCTCAACAGCTGCAAGAGCATCTCGAGTCTGAAGGCATACATTAATTTTGCTCTCTGAAGGATGGGTTTAGTGTAACCACAAAATTCCACTTCCTTTTTCAGGGTTCTTCATGATGATGTAATGCAGCAAATTTCCTAGGGTATGTTCCTCCTCTTGCAATACAAATGTCACACAGTGTCTAACTGTTCCAGCTGCCTGGGCCATTTCCAGGGCTGTCTTCCTCTCGTCTTCAGCCATTGAGGTCTTCAATCCAGACGTTTTTCTCTCCAGTTCCTGGTCCTCTTCCACCTCAGGGGTGGTTTTCAGATCCTCAGGTGGTGCTGGTGGATGGGTGAGGCACTCTGCCCCATATCCAGTTGCTTGTGGGAGAAGCAGGAAGAAAGGAACCACCAATGTAGAGATAGTTCTCAACTTCCCCAGACAAATAGTTGTCTTGCAGGGGAAAAAAAAGATTTAAAGTATTACATCTAAAAACCAGTGATTTCTATGAGGATTAACTCAAAGAAACTCTGCAACAAACTCTCCTAAGGTCCAGTTAAAGATGTTAGTAATTTGGGATTTTGTATTTCTCTTCATTTATCTACCTGGCCTCTTTCCTATTGGAAGGTACTTTGGTTGTCATTAAAACAAACAAATACAACTCGTTTCCTCTAGTTGGACCGCTGGATTCCACCGTTAGCGGAACCTCTGGTTCCTCTCTCATGGCCACTCCCTACTACACTTCAGTGAACTTTTGCCTCTCTCCACTAAGCTACCTACTCCCCCATCTTTCTCTCCCAGACTCCCTCTCCTGGTGTGACTGCTCCATTGAATGTGTGGATAGCTATGGGTGTTTGCCTCCCAACTTACACATTCTGTGTGCAAGCTGATCTCCCAACAGTGGGGTTGACTCCTGCAAAGACACATTCTTTTTTTTTTTTTTTTTTTTTAGGACTGACTGAATTCAACAAGTATTTATTGAGTGTCTATTATGTGCTAGATATTGTTCCAGGTACTTGAGACACATCAGAGAACAAAACCAAGAGCCCTGCCCTGGTGGGGCTTCCAGTCTAGCATTTATTGCCACTTCACCTGCAGGCTACCTGGGGCCTGAGGCAAGTCACTGCACCTCTGTGCTTGGGTCCTCAGCTGCCCAATGGGAGAATAAGCAGACCTGGCTCAGACGTGGATAATGTGCCTGGTGTACTGTGGATGCCAAATCAGATACCCTCAACCCACCACCTAGACAGTAGATAGGGCTGGAAGTTGATTTTTAATGATAAAGTATGATGGAGGGAGGGCAGAGGGGCTAAGCCAAGCTGTCTGGGGTGCTGTGGTGGCGGTGGGCTGGCTACACAAACTGCTGCTGCTGCTGCTTGGTGGCCGCCTTGCTCGCGAGGTCCTTGGCCTTCCTGTAGCTGCCAGTGTCTTCTCCTTTGCCTTCTCCTTGGCTTCCTTGGCTGTCTCAGCAAGCGTTTTGGAAGGGGCCTCACCTTGCAGCTTCGCCAAGATATATTCAAAACCCTTCACAGTCTTGGTCACGTTGCTTTTGAACCGGGCAAGACCAAATTCTTGGACAGCTCTGGAGACACCAGATAAGCTAGAGGAGACCCAGGCTTCACGGCGGGTTTCGGTCCAGCCACTGCTGCCAGAGTTCACACAGTAAACACACCGCTGGTCCACCACCACCAGCCGGGCGTGGTTGATGTTCCAGGTGAAGGTGGTCATGGTCTCATTCTGCGGGTCCACAATAGAGTCCTCCAGGATGTACCCGGAGTGAGCAACATTGGCAGGAAACAGTCGCTCGGCCCAGCGGGGCATCCTGTTGGTCGTGGTCAGGAGTCGCCGGGACAGCAGTTTCTGGTCAGCGGTCACCTCCCGGTGTACTGTGTCTTCCGTCAAGACATCCTTGCTGTAGGGATTCGGGTACCGCTGCCAGAAGGCGTCGAACACTTGGTCCCAGGAACTCCGGAGCACGCTCTGGCCCAGGAAATACTTCACCACCGTCCCGGCCGGAGCGGGCTCAGCACCCACGCAGCATCAGGGGTGCGGAACCTGGGAGGCACGCGGGGGCCAGGCCGGGCCGGGGCGCACACCCGCCGCCAGGCTCGTAGCTCAGTCACCACGCACCGTGCCCAAGCAGCTGCCGCCGCCGCCATGAGTTATCCAGCTGCGCAAAGACACATTCTTTATGGGGCTATATTGGTTGGTCACTGGAATTAGGAATACCTTGGATATTACCATTTTGTTTCCTATTAAACAGCTATACAAGGAAATAGTAATCAATTTTTTTTTTTTTTTTTTTTTGAGACGGAGTTTCGCTCTTGTTACCCAGGCTGGAGTGCAATGGCGCGATCTCGGCTCACCGCAACCTCCGCCTCCTGGGTTCAGGCAATTCTCCTGCCTCAGTCTCCTGAGTAGCTGGGATTACAGGCACACGCCACCATGCCCAGCTGAATTTTTGTATTTTTAGTAGAGACGGGGTTTCACCGTGTTGACCAGGATGGTCTCGATCTCTTGACCTCGTGATCCACCCTCCTCGGCCTCCCAAAGTGCTGGGATTACAGGCGTGAGCCACCTCGCCCGGCCCTAATAGTAATCAATTTTTATGAGTAGGAATCTATTTTCTTTTTTTAAACAGACGGGGTCTCGCTATGTTGCCCAGGCTGGAGTGCAGTGGCTATTCACAGGCAGGATCCCACTACTGATCAGCATGGGAGTTTTGACCTGCTCTGTTTCCGACCTGGGCCGGTTCACCCCTCCTTAGGCAATCTGGTGGTCCCCCGCTCCCGGGAAGTCACTATATTGATGCTGAACTTAGTGCGGACGCCCGATTGGCATAGCAAACTACAGCCCAGAACTCCTGGGCTCAAGCGATCCTCTAGCCTCAGCCTCCCAAGTAGCTGGGACTACAGGCACGCGCCACCGCGCCTGGCATGAGTAGGAATCTAAACAGCACAGAGAATCGAGGAAGTTGTGAGATATGTATAAGTTGGTACAAAAGGGTGATCCAAAACCATGAGTTACCTAGGCAAAATTAAGATGTTACTGGCTGGATGTGGTGATTCAAGCCTACCCAAAATGCCCCAGCACTTTGAGAGACTGAGGCAGGTGGATTTCTTGAGCCCAGGAGTTTGAAATCAGTCTAGGCAACATGAAAAAACCCTGTCTCTACAAAAAATACAAAAATTAGCCCGGCATGGTGGTGTGTACCTGCAGTCCCATCTACCCTGGAGGCTGAGGTGGGAGGATCACTGAGCCCAGGGAGGTCGAGGTTGCAATGAGCCGAGATGGTGCCAGTGCACTCCAGCCTGGGCAACAGAGCAAGATCCTGCCTCAGGAGAAAAAAAAAATCAGATTATCATACAGCCCAAATACAAAGAAAATACATTTAGGCACGTAATCAAAGTCTGGGAAGTTCATAAATGAACTATGAATTAACTATTCTCTCCCTTGCCTTCTCCTTATCCCTTCTCTTTTCTTCTCCCTCATAACTTGGGGAAGGATGTGATTGCACATAGCATGAAGTGCAGTTACATTTCTAATGGGATGAGAAGCAGATCAGCTGGGGAGGAGATTGGACTCTGAGGAAAAGCTCCTGAAATGTCCTGAAGTAACAGGTGGATCTAATGTCAGAACTGTTTGTAAAATGGAAAAGGGGTGAAATGTGTCATTTGCTGGGATAAACACTGTCAGCATGACAATCCACATGTTACACACCTGCTTGTGCTTTTTTTTTTTTTTTTTTTTTTTGCTGCTGGGAGCACTTTCCACCAACACACACCCTACTAATGAGGAAACTGCAAAAGGGAACTCAAGAGACTAAACGCAGGTCTGCAGTGAGGGATATGTTTACATCCTACACGTGAGTTGAGTAAGTATATTTTTAGGATAGCAAGTTCTGGTCAAGCAAGCTTAACATGAAAACATGAGAACTGCCCTACTTTAAGGGACTCACCCAATTCAATATTCTGTTTTGGAGGGTGGAACTGAAAACATAATCAGCATGTAGAGTTTAATGTGTAAATGACCAATTTTGTTTTTCACTGTTTGCTGTACATCAACTTCTGTGTGAGATTAACTCTCCACTAGGACAGGGTCCCTGTTAAATCACCAGTTACCTGGCAACTTTGGAAAAAGTCATTCTGGATAGACAAACACACAGACAAGGATGACTTCTCCAGACATGAATTTTTAAATGTTTATTAAACTTTTCAGGCTCACACCTGTAATCCCAGCACTTTAGGAGGCTGAGGTTGGAGGATCACTCAGGAGTTTGAGATCAGTCTGGGCAACATAGCAAGACCCAGTTTCCACAAAAAATTTAGAAATTAGTTGGGTGTTGTGGCACTTGCCTGTAGTCTGAGCTACTCAGGAGGCCGAGGTGGGAGGATCACTTGAGCCCAAGTAGGTTGAGGCTGCAATGAGCAGTGATTGTGCCATTGCACTCCAGCCTGGGTGACAGAGCGTGACACTGTCTCAAAACAAACAAACAAACAAAACAAAACAAAGCAAAAACAAACAAACAAACCCAAACCTAAATAGATCATGGTGATAACAATGTTATATAATAAAGTTTGTAGAACTGTTTTTCTGTACACCGAATGTCCCAGAATGCTGCACTTCTACATGGAATTTGTATAGTTTTTCCTGTCAATCTCCTGTTATCCACTTCTAGTTCTCTTTGCTGTAAGGGGAGAGTTTACTTAGCACAGACTCTTTCCTTCTAATATAGTGTCTAATCTGCTATGGACAGGTGATAATTGTTACATTTGCATCACGCTTTACCAATTACAAAGTGCTTATCAGACTTTTGCAGGTGACATCATTGTCTGTGGATCCTAGTCCTGGGGCTGGGGACTTGACCCTGGCCTGGCCAATCAGAATATTCTATCTTCTTTACCAATGATTGGATCTGGGATGGACACATGACCCAAGCTGGGCCTATTAGACTCTGCCCTGGGAGTTTTGTCAGAGTGATCAGGAAAGTGGTTATCTTGAAGTTCTCCTGATGGTTTTGTTTTGGTTTTTGTGTTTTTTGATACAGGGTCTTGCTCTATGATCACAGCTCACTGCAGCCTCAACCTCCTGGGCTCAAGGGATCCTCCCACCTCAGCCTCCCTACAGGCACAAGCCACCACATCTGGCTAATTTTTTAAATTTTTCGGTAGAGATGGGGTCTCACCATTTTGCCCAGACTGGTCTGGAACTCCTTAGCTCAAGCAATACCCATGCCTCAGCCTCCAAAAGTGTTGGGCTTACAGGTGTGAGCTACTGCACCTTGCCCTGATGTTACCTTATGCATAAAAAAAAAAACAGGTAAGGCCGGGCATAGTGGCTCACACCTGTAATCCAAGCACTTTGGAGGCCAAGGTGGGCAGATCACCTGAGGTCAGAAGTTCAAGACCAGCCTGACCAACATGGTGAAACCCCATATTAAAAAAAAAAAGAAAAAAAGGCCGGGCGCAGTGGCTCAAGCCTGTAATCCCAGCACTGTGGGAGGCCGAGGCAGGTGGATCACGAGGTCAAGAGATCGAGACCATCCTGGTCAACATGGTGAAACCCCGTCTCTACTAAAAATACAAAAAATTAGCTGGGCATGGTGGCGTGTACCTGTAATCCCAGCGACTCAGGAGGCTGGGGCAGGAGAATTGCCTGAACCTGGGAGGTGGAGGTTGCGGTGAGCCGAGATCGCGCCATTGCACTCCAGCCTGGGTAACAAGA